AAGATTTATTTATGGAATAAAACGCACACATAAACCCCTCACCCACATGACTCAGAAAGTGAGGTAAAGGAGAACATCCTGTAAGATGGGGAAGTCTAAGCATTGGCAAAAGTAGCAATGAAAAGAATTTAGACAAAAACCTGATGTCAACAATATAACTAAAAAAGAAGTATTAAATATCTTATAATGCATCAGAATAACAATACTTGCTAATAATGAGAGGAAATGAAGGAAAGCTACAAGATCAACAAAAAAGGGAGGCAATGAGGGGAAGGACGCAAAATGACCTCACAGCAAAGGTTTTTGACCAAAATTACACAAGTACATGCACACACAAGCCTTATACTCGCTCTCATACCTGAGAGTCTAATTAACCAATCTGAATCAGTTTTGTCCATTTCTGCCCAGTAACTGTCAGTAGCACCTGCTAAGACACTAGTTGCTATGGTGACTGTGGCTACCAACATGCACACACAACCACTCTGTCTACCTAGGCAAGTCCTATTGGAAAAAATGACTCAACTGTAATAAATAGAGTGATATCTTTTATGTGTATCTACAGTTTAGAGTCGAGGTTTTATCACAGTTTAGAAAAACGCCCCTCGACTCTGTTTTTTGGCAAGAGCTTCATAGCTCAGTTTAACATGGGCCTCTCTGCACTTTGAGAGGATTTCCTCAAAAACTGTAAGATATAAGAATGAGACCAAAACTTGGTGTGGGAGGACAAATTTTTATTACAGAGCTGTCATCCACTCTAGCTCTCAACATTCTGTGCAAGACACACACATTATAAAATCTGAAATTGTCTTGAAGTGACACAAAACGTAAACTGTGATCTTGTTAAAACCATAATAGCAATCAAAATACTGATTTAACCCAAGAGTCTCAAGTCTCATGACCCATTTAAAATTACAACCACGTTTCTACGTTAAAGCATGATAAAGCAGTAGAGCTCCTGCCAGAAGGACAATCATCTCAGCAGCACTCCGTCAGTCAGGCCTTTATAGTACAGTGACTAAATGGAAGCCACTTTGAATGAGAGACATATGACAGGCAGCGCACATGATCTAAGACTGGAGCAACAGTTCATGTTTCAGCTCAACAATCTCTCTCTCAAATTAAATCGAAGGCAACTGGACTTGTATTTGTCTGTGGAAGACGTTTCGCCTCTTATCCAAGCGGCTTCATCAGTTCTTATGTATTGGTCTCTCTAGTCCGCACTAGTCTGACTAGGACGAATGAGAACATTCACAGACAGCTCAACAATGACTCATCTTATCATTTAACCCTTGATATTTTGGTATGAGATACATTTAAATCCAAATATATGTGGTACCAGTTTGGTATCCACATTAAAGATTACAAGATTTGTACAAAAATATTATGTTTGTATTCCTACAAATTTAAAGCATCTATCTAATCATGACTTTTCTGACATCAGAAATCACCTTCCACCAGTGGTTCCTGTGATAATGAGGTCAGGCTCCTGCTGTGGGCGTCGCCTGACTTGAAAAAGTTTAAAAAAAAGTAAGAGCAGAGTTTCAGCTCAGTTAGGACAGACTCAGTCTCACTGCAACAGGCCGATGTCAGGAGCCACACAGTCATAAACTAGGCTCTGTATTGTCTTATTTCAGCGTTATATAGACTTTAAATAAGATAATGCAAATCCTCTCCGTCCCAAGCCTGAAAATTATTAATGTGTTTAATGCTGAAGCTGCACATAGGCCCAAGAAAGCACAGAGCTTATAGTTAAAGTTTAACTTTAGCGAAATGTAACAAGTACTGTGTTCAGTATTAACAGTGTTAATAACTGCTGTATGAAACCAAAAGATCATGATAAACTCCACAGAGGTTTCATATTTCACCCTTGCTGCATACTTTGACACTGGGCTTTTTAAATACCTGTTTCTTATGATTGTCATGTCTTTATATCTTCTCATTATCTGTGCCAATGTTCTGCTGATTGTAGTTATCTGTCTGAACAGAAGCTTACATGAACCCATGTACCTGTTTCTGTGCAGCCTGTTTGTAAATGAACTGTATGGTAGTACAGGGTTGTTTCCATTCCTGCTGGTTCAGATCCTCTCTGACATTCACACTGTTTCTAGATTCTTTTGTTTCCTGCAGAACTTTTTTTTATACTTTTATGGAGGCGTAGAATATTTAAATTTAGCCGTCATGTCTTATGACAGATACCTCGCCATCTGTTGTCCTCTAAAATATAACACTCAAATGACAGTTAACAAAATTGCCATCCTCCTTATTATAACATGGTTTTGCCCTTTACTGTTGTGTATTGTGATGGTGTCCTTAAGTAACTCCTTACAGCTGTGTGGGACCGTTATTGAGAAGGTGTACTGTGACAATTACTCCATTGTCAAACTGTCATGTTCTGATATCACGATCAATAACATCTATGGACTTTTTATTACTTTATTCTCAATCTTTTGCCCTCTAATTCTAATCGTCTACACTTACATGAAGATTCTTAAAATCTGTTTTTCTGGTTGTAAACAGAGCAGACAAAAGGCTGTCAGCACCTGCACACCTCACCTTGCTTCTCTGTTCAACTTTTCATGCGGGGCTTGTTTTGAATTATTACAGAGCAGGTTTGATATGAATAATTTACCCAATATTTTGAGAATTTTTTTATCATTATACTGGCTTACATGCCAGCCACTTTTCAACCCTTTACTGTACGGTCTAAATTTGTCCAAAATCCGCATCATATGTAAAAGTCTCGTCTTTGCTGAAATGTAGACCGCTTATGTAACAGCCATTCAACAGATTTCAATGTTCCGCAGACACTAAGAATGTATTTAGTGGTTGCTGAAGGTCAAAACGATAATATTTGAAATTCAGCTGCATTAACTGATGATTCCCAAGCCTGATTTGACAATGTGGTTTTGGCATGATACTGTGTTTTGAAATACACTGTATGAAAGACAGCAATAAAATGATGATGCTTTTTCTTAATAAGTGATTGATTCCTAACATCATTACAAAAGTTAGTGTGGGAATCCTACATACGTTTTACAATAAGATGAAAATGGCAGTGTATATAGTTATTACAAAACCTTTTTAGGATCCTTACATGAACTTATGTATGCAATTTAAATGACATCAGAGATAGCAGTGGAGATTTTGTTAGCATATATGACATGCATAAATATATGTAAGATGTTCATAATTGCATATTTCGTGACTCAAATGTTAGCCCAAATTTAATAAGACACTAAAGTAGTAGCAGCTTATTTTTTTTTACCTGAAACAGAGAATTTAAAATTCAGTGTTATAATCAGGCTAAGCGAGGCCATGTGGCCTTTCGTTCCACAAAAAGTTTAGGGCACAAAGGCCCTGAGTGTTTTGACGCCTACAAAGAAATAACTTGCGCTTTCTGCTAAGAAAAAAAAGAAAGGAAGAAGATAAAAAATGACATGAAAATCAAGTGAAAATGATTCACTTTTTAATATAAATAAAAAAGACTTTTCAAGATGCATTCTGTTATCATGTATCAATTTGCCAGAATCTATAAATATGTAAATATATTTCATTTCAGAGATAGATAGATCTTTATTTATCCCCTGGCAGAAACTTCTCACTTTCAGCAGATGAATTTAAGAACAGTCTTCAAGTGTCAAACACACATTAATTATTTTGCACAGTAAAGTTTAAGCTGTACAAATAAGAACACATTTTTGAGCAGAGGGGGACTAAGATGCAATGATGAGTGTGTGTGAGAGAAAGTGTGTGTGTCTAATCTGACTGAAACAATAGTTCAGGCCAGGAAATTGACTATCATTATTTTTTATCATTTTCGTAATTGGATGTTATTACAAGGGAAAGTGGCGGCTACATGTGAACTATACAGTCATAGAAAAAATATATAAATGTCTATCTTTATATATATTTATAATTATGTCAATAAATTATCAGACCATCAGGTGAAGAGCAGTAGTTTTCCAGTGCACTCCCTCTCTCTCTGTCTCTGCTTTCTGAACTCTTAACTCTTCTAACCGCAACAGACCTCATGCTTACAAGAGCACAAGAGTAATGTTAATATCCATCCATCCATCCATCCATCCATTTTCTTCAGCTTATCGGGTGTTGGGTCGTGGTGGCAACAGGCTAAGCAGGGCATTCAAGACATCCCTCTCTCCAGCAACGCTTTCCAGCTTCTCCTAGGGGATCCCGAGGGGTTCCCAGGCCAGATGGGAGATACAATCCCTCCAGCAAAATCTGGGTCTACTTCAGGGTCTTCTCTCAGTTGGATGTGCCTGGAAAACGGAAGCCACATCCATCTTTATTTAGAGTCTATCATCCTAAACAGACACTCAAACCACCTCAACTGGCTCCTTTTGATATGATGGAACAGCGACTCCACCAAGTTCTCCGGAACTCTGCACCACAGTCGAACACAACTCTTAAATTTCCCTTTCTTGGGTGATGCACACCATGGTGGGGAACGTACCAGACTTGTCCAGTTTCACAGTCCAGCTGATGCTGAGGTACTTCCTCAGCATGTCCATTTCCAATCATGTCGGTGAAGAAGCTGGTGTACACTTTGTGAAACATTTGGTCTTTCTTGAACCTCCTCTGTAATCCAAGTAGACGTTGTTTGACCACACTGAGATTGTTGGGCAGGGCAAGCTTGTCCCCTTTGAAAGGCATCTTGACACTGTAGTGCCCATCCACAAGCTGTGTTGATTCTTCCATGATTTTCATAAAGCGAACATCCTCTCTCGACATTGCTTTTTCTTTTGAATTCCTTTCATTGAAATCATGATTATATTGATTGATTAGCATCTGCTCCAGTCTGCATACTGAAATCCTGTTGACACTGGCCACTGGAGGTCCATTTTCAGATCCATTACCCACTTGAAGGGGCCGATTGACCACCCATCCCAATACCGTTTTCACAGCATATGGACCATTTCCACGGCTGTTAACCACCTCCCAAGGTTCAAATAACCTGGGTGCATTGGTCCCAATCAATAGGTCAACATTTGCCTCTATGCTGTGAATTTGAACCTCAGACAGGTAAGGCCACTTCTCCACATCTTCCTGGGTGACATTACTGTCACTGGTCACAGGCATTTTCCTTTGTGTAAGGACTTCTGGGAGGCTATAGAAGGTGTCACCATTGAGACCACATACCTCCAAACCTTTCAGTGAGGTACTTGGGACCACCTTTTCCTGCCCCATGGTGCGCAGGAGAAAGTTGGTCTGTCGGCCCATTACATTCAACGCATGCATTAGATGGTCAGAACAAAATGTTGCAGAACCGGCAGGGTCGAGAAAGGCATAGGTTTGCAGTATCTTGTCTCCCTTTGAGGATTTGACTTGAACTGGTAAAATGGACAGCTTACCATCACCCCTGCCGGCCCCAGTAAGACCACATGTCTGCGTTGCTGTAGTGACAGCTGAAGGGACAGTGGGAGAGAGTGCTAGAGAATCTGAAGCATTGTTGGATGATTTTTTCCACAAACCTTGCAGGTTAGACGCTTTCCACAATCACCACTCATGTGACCGGAACACAAACATCCAAAACAGATCCCCTTTTGCTTTAGAAAGAGAAGTTTATCCTTGTGCTTCCTAGTTTTCAGACGAGGGTACACCGTCAAGGAGTGACTCCCTTTACAGCACACACAAGCATGTCCAGAGTCAGATTTGTCCAATTTAGATTCAGGCATTTTTTGAACAAAGCCATAGTGGTGCTTTAAAGTCCAGACGTGTCACTGTTGTAGCAAAGCTGCTACCTTTAGCTCCACTGTACTTGGACTGAGGCTGGGACTTGCTCCTGTTACTCAGTCCATCTTTGCCCATGGAATGGTCCTGTATGTCGCCAAAAAGTGGGTCAGCTAGGATCTTCACTTGGCATTCCACAAACGCGACCAGATCAATAAAAACAGCTCTGCGGTTCCGTCGCTCCAATAGCTCATGAGCTGTTGTTCTCCACTTCTCCCTAAATTTGTAGGGCAGCTTGATCATGATCATGCGCATGTTGGAAGGCATGTCGAGCTCTTGCATGTATTGTAGCTCTGTCATTACATTGCAGCAGTTGCGCAGAAATAGGGAGTAGGCCTGCAGCGCCTTTACGTCCTCAGATTTTACTGTGGGCCATGCCAAAGCCTTCTCAATGTAAGATGCAGCAATTTTAAACTCATTTCCGAAGTGTTCCTGCAGGAGATTCTTGGCCATGTCATAGCCTCTGTCAGGCATCATGTGCTGGCAACTCTTTACCAGCTCTCATGGTTGGCCTTTGGTGAACTGTTCCAAAAAATACAAGCAATCTGCTTTGTTGGCTTTGGACTCGATGTGATGCTCAAATGCTCTTATGAAGCTCCGGTACTGAAGTGGGTCACCATCAAATGCAGGGATGTCTCTAGATGGTAATGACATTGCGAGTTGGTTTTGAACGAGCATGTCTGTAATATCGTTCTGCCGTTGCATGATGGAGCTCAAGTCTCCTTGTGGTGGCAGTTGGAAGGGTTGATATAACTTTGGAGAAAGCCCATTGTAAGCTGGCTCTGTTTTAAGTTGTGGGGATGCAACAGCACCACCTTGTGGTGGTGTTTGGAGGGGTTCATACATTGCAGGGGATCCATTGTAAACTGGTAAAAAATTAGGGTGCGGTTGTGCAAAAGCCCCACCTAGTGGTGGCGCTTGAGAGGCCTGCCATAGTTGTTGTAGTTGTGGCAGTTCCAGTTGTGGTAGTTCCAAGTGTATTGGAAAACTTGTTCTTGTCTTTGGTCTGACAATGGGATTTTGTGGAAGAGCAAATGGCTTTGCGGATGGGTTCAGTAGATGGGTGGAGGTTGGTTGAGGTCCAGTTTGTTTTTCCACAGGTATGGTTTTTCCTTCATTTCCTTTAGAAGACGTACGTGACCGTCTCCCACTCGCTGATGCGCTGTCGAAGACAGCCAATTCAGCCTCCATTTCCAGTTGCTGCCTTTTCCTTTTCAATTCCTCTTCCTGGGCTTCAAGAGCAAGTCTCTGTTTCAAAGCTTCCGCTTTCACCAGCAGTGCTGGTGCAGCTCTCTCAGCCTCCGCTTTGATGCGGTCCAAGGCCGTACTTTTACCACTCTGCCCAGAATATTTACTTCTAACGTTAGAAATGCTGTCAGCCGGTTTAACATCATCGCTCACATTTTGTGTGAACACATGTTCTATTTGCCGCTCCTTAGGATGCTTATCCATCGCGGTTCCATTATCCGTATGTTCGTTATTTGCATTTTCAGCATTTTCCATTGTAGGTGACAGCCATTGTTCAACTTGCATGCGAAAACTTTCCTCAATTGCCACTCTTGACCAGAACCATGTGTTTTGTTTTACAATTTCAACCTGGGGCATAGGCATCACAGCCATAACATTATCATGCAAACCTTTGGCTGACACGCACAGCTGACCATGTTCATCAAACACGCTGTTTATACCATTCACGTCATTGTTTTGCATAAATACCTCCATCATTTTCCTCAGCTTTTTAGCTTTGTTTAGTTTCTCAGACCTTTCATTTTGAAACCTTGTCAACCTTTCACACAAAACCTTATACGTTGGTTTGATTTCCCTTTTTCCTATTGATGTAACATTGTCCGCAGCGACCTGCTCGGGCTCCGCGGATTGGTCAACGCTACCGTCCTTTACACTGTCCATGTCCATGTCGACAAACCGCAACAACGTTGTGTGCAAATTATTTTATTCAATGTCACTATCGGCTTGAATGCCAGTCAATCAAACCACCATTGCATTGGTTTTACGCTCGCGAAACGCAAAGCTGTGTGCACACACGATTTAAATGGCCATTAGCTGGGCGGCTAGCACATACCCCGCCTGTGATGTGTTGGCAGTTGACGTCGGGTACCGTCGCTGGAGCTCCGGTGAGACGTTTCGCTGGTCGGCGTTCTCCGTTTGCCGCGTTCCTGCTTCCAGTCCAAACAGCGCTGAACAACAAAAAACAATCCCACGTGGCTCTGACGGGAAACAACAATCCACCGATGTTCTCAACGCAAAAGTTTTTGACTTTGTGTATGGCTTGATTCCAGGATCCAAAAAAAGTGTCTACAAGCCATTGAGGTCGGTGCAACCGACTTTACACCAAGTGGACGCGTCGTACTCCACACGAATAAAAGATCCCACAAATTCGTTGTTCTTACAAAACGTGCATTTATTATTCCACGAGTTCCCCATAATCCCGAACGTTCCATAAAATATCAATTTCCAAAGATGATGCAAAACAACAATGTGAAAACGCAACTACGTGACGACGGTCAAAAACTTGTATGCTGCCGGTAGCAAACACAGACACCTCCCTCATTCACGGGCCGTACTCCAAATATAAGGAAGCACTTCCGCTCCACACTAAGGTGGAGCCACCTGCTGGACAATATCCGACTTACCCCATAATTCAAAATATTATTTTTAAACAATAAAGAAATACAAACAAAAAATAAATCAAATTGGAAAATATAACATTAATTTGCCACATTGGCTCCAACACACATGTTGGAAGACCACTACGACAATGCAATGAAAATTGCAACTGCAGTGATGGAAAGAGTGTTGAAGCAGCATCAAATAAAGGTAGAGGATGAACTGGCACTCAACAGCTTTTCACTCTTCCTTTTGAGTTGGTGTAATGCCTTGAAAGACATGGACAACGGAGGAGCTGGATCACCCAAATCTGAGGGGTGATCATCACAAAGTTTCCCAACAAAGTTAGAGAAACGGTGGAGGGCTTGAGATTCAGGAAAAGAGCTGGAAGAGAGTTAGATTCACACAGCTTGCCATGACCTTTGTAGGGCAGAAAGGAAGGAAAAGAAAACTTCTTTGATGGAAAGAAAGGTCAAGAAAAAAAGGAAGCAGCTTTGCTACCAATACAACTACAGCAAGAGAGACAGAAAATGACAAAGACTGTCTAACAAGATCATTGAAAAATGTTGCCCTTATTATGCCATGTTTGTTCAGCGGAGAAAATCACACACCAGTTGAGTGTCATCAAGGGCAAGCCGGATTTCATAAGGTAAGCTGGCCTCTGCTGTGGATGTCAGTAAGGAATGTTAAGGGAAAAGCAAAGCAAAGTGCCAAATGGTCAAAAAAAAAAATCTGAACAATTTCCTCCCAGGCAATTTGAAACAAACAGTTGTCTCAAGTGCAGTGGTGAGCCTGAAGCAGGAGAAAACCATCTGTGAAGGGGCCAGAGAGAAGTGTGTTCTTCCTGTCTGTGTCGAATCAAAGAAAGTCAGCAAAAATTGTGGAGACAAATGCATTAGCTTGTCTTAACTACAACGAGCTCAAGTAAACAATAGAAAAGTTAGTGGACTTGAGGAAGATAACTTAATCAACTCACCAAAGGAGGATCTCAGGAATAAAGGAGCATATTCCCCTGCAGAAGGACATTGAGAAATAGCTGTGGTGCCAGAAAGTGAAGCTGCCATACATTGATGCTGAAATAAAACTCCTTGTAGGTAATGACATGCACGATGCACTTGAGCCATGGAAGGTTATCCACACAGCCAAAACAATATGAATGATACTGATATAAGGTTCCAGGCAGAGATCTCTGCATGAGCCAAAAGGGGAAACAGCTTGTGAACGGGAACATTCCCATCGACAAGCCGGATCCAGCGCTGCAAAATGACATCCTAGGAGGGATAGATCTCCGACAGGACTGGTAGGGAAATAGTGTGATTGCACTATTATGTGTATTATTTGATAATGACATGCACATAAAGACTAAAAATGTTCCAGAAAAAAAAAACCAAAGCAGAACCATTTCATTTCCTTGCTCTCACTGAGCTCTTTGCACTTTGTGCTTAACAAAAGTTTGCTCTTTCTTCAGGCGTGAATCCTAAATCAGTATCAACCAGTGGCTTGTTTGACAAAGAGTTCGTAGAGTGATGCTGTGGTGGGTGTCACCTGATTAGAAAAGGTTAAAAGAAGCAGAAGCAGAGGTTCAGCCCAGTTATGCTGGACTCAGAGTATGACTGCAGTAGTTGAATGTATAATTTCTTACCTCAGTATGACACAATACAACTGGGAAACAGTCAAATTGAACAATGTTTCAAAATAGTTTTCTTGATAGTACTGTAGTTATCTTTACTGTTTGTAAATTGAGTTCTCTGGGTGTTTAATGCTTTAGCTGCACACAGTCCTAAACAAGCAAAGCTATATAGGTTTGAGTTAACCTTTAGAAATCTATAACAAAATGTTATGGAGTTAGTTCATCTTGCCCAGTGTCATCACTGATTCATGAGCCAGAGCGATCATGGTAAATGCTACAAAGGTTTCATATTTCGTACTAAGTGCCTACTCAGATACTGGTGTTTTCAAATACTTATATTTTACTATTATTATGTCTTTATATATTTTCATAGTCTGTGCCAATGTTCTGCTGATTGTAGTTATCTGTCTGAACAGAAGCTTACATGAACCCATGTACCTGTTCCTGTGCAGCCTGTTTGTAAATGAACTGTATGGTAGTACAGGGTTGTTTCCATTCCTGCTGGTTCAGATCCTCTCTGACATTCACACTGTTTCTGTGCCTTTTTGTTTCCTGCAGATTTATTGTGTTTATACATATGTGTGTGTAGAATATTTAAACTTAGCCATCATGTCTTATGACAGATACCTGGCTATCTGTTATCCTCTACAATATAACAAATGTATGACATCTAACAAGGTCGCCATGCTTATTGCTGTGACATGGTTTTTCCCTTTTCTTGCCATTCTAGTTTTGTTATCATTGAGTTTGCCATTACAGCTGTGTGGGAACATCATTAATAGAGTTTACTGTGGAAATTATTCCATTGTTAAACTGGCCTGCTCTGACACCAGAGTCAATAACATCTATGGCCTCATTTACACAGTCATCTCAATCATCATTCCTCTCATTTTAATCCTTTACACTTACATGAAGATTCTTAAAGTGTGTTTTTCTGGCTCTAAACAGACGAGACAGAAAGCTGTCAGTACCTGCACACCTCACCTCGCTTCTCTGCTCAACTTTTCTTTTGGTTGTTGTTTTCAAATCTTACAAAGCAGATTTGATACAAGCAGTCTACCCAATATGCTGGATATTTTATTATCATTATACTTTCTAACTTGCCAGCCGCTCTTTACACCTGTACTGTATGGGCTGAAAATGTCCAAAATCTGCGTCATGTGTAAACGTCTGCTGTACGGTGAAGTGTAGGTCAGCCAGCGGATCTGTTCAACTTGGCTTACATGAAAAAACAATAAATGAATTCCATTCCTGACTTCATCAGTGTTAACAGTGATGTTGTGGACCTCACTCTTTGTTCTTTGTGAAAAGTGATCTTTCTTGTTTTTCTCTTTTTCACTCGATCTGAGAAACATGGTGGCGTGTGATGTTTTTGATTTAAGTGACCTACAATATGTGCATTCAACTTCCACAGAGCTTGAGTTTAACCCATCAAACAGTTTATGCGGTAATTACATGTGAGCAACGCATCAGCTCCTTCATATTTGCAGAGGTAGTCAGTCTTAGTGTTGCATGCTCCTTTATTCTCTCTCAGTCTGAGAACACTGAGCTTAGCAGAATTTAAAGATTTACATATTCTATTGGTGTGAATATGTTTTTACTGGCAACCTGTCCTGGCTTGGAAACCTTGACTCCTGGTTTGGTGATGATTCGAAAAGACTCCTCTGATTGGTTCTTCATGACTGGCACCAACAGTGTGTCTCTGCCCTCTCTTGGTCTTGGCAGGGTGCACTTTGCCAGTCACCCAGAGTATATGCTGGCTCGCATTCAGTCATCTGCCACTTAAGGCCTCACTATGACTCGAACTTTGCATTTACACCTGATATCGATGAAGCCTTGTTTAAGCTCACCACCACAATGCAAGGTGTATCATAAGTGCTCTAATTATATTCCGCGTGTAAAACTGTTCATATTGTTTGTGAGACAAAGTGATGGTGGAAGCCAAGGAAGTTCGCAGTCGTCTGTCGATATTATTGGTCGCGGATGTCGGGACAATTCCTGGCGGACAACTCTGACTGGGAAAGTTTTGAAAGAAGTTTGAAAAGGAAGTGGAACGTTGTTGCTAGGTAACTGTGATTAATGTCGCTATGTGTTGCCACAAATGAGCAATGTTGTTCAATGTGTTTATATTTCCATATTTATACACTCTGCCTTCCAACGTTAGGTTATCATGAAGCTAGCTATGCAGTATCCTACGTCACTTAAGTAATGTTATTAATCTAAAGCTGTAACCATGGAGACATTACACTAGGCTAACATTAGGGTGAATATAGATTAACTGTAGAGATCGTTTGTCGAAATTTTGTGTATTTTAAACATGTTCAAACAATTAAAACCTAGTACAAATGAACATTACATCTAGTCTGCCATGTATGGAACACCAGTGATAATTACACCACCTCGATAAAATAACAGAACAGAGGCCTCAGTTACCTCCATCAAATACAAAATTACAGTTATTGTGAACAAGGCAGCATGAGTCTAATACCATGATGATCAAACCAGATTTCTCCAGTGCAAAAGTTAAAACGGTTGATGGCCACAATTGGTGTCTATATGTCGGTAACATTTAAGCTGATTTGTATTTTAAACAGAGCTGCATAATTTTATTTTGATTTTCTGAGCATGACACAAAAATGCTCTCTATAAATGTCTCTGAAACGCAAAAATGTTCTCTCACCTCACAAAAAGTTACTCCCGTTGACCATGATATGCAGGATGCAGAGCACATTGATAATCAATACATAAGTCTTGTTATTGTTCCCTCTCTGTCATGTTAAGTCAACAGAGGTGTTACTTGCCACACAGGGGTGGACTGGGACAAAAATTCAACACTGGCATTTTCTGTCCAGACCAGCCCACTACATTATCAGCGGACACTACATAGAAGTCCACTAATCGTGGCATCTTCTCTCATGCATACTACAAAGGAGAGTCATATTCCTTGATAGCAGTTAACAAATAAAGCACTTAACTATGAACTCGAGGACTAAAATTTACAGCTATAGCAATAAATCAATCAATCTTTATTCATTATAGTGTCAAATCACAACAGAAGTTATGTCATGACTAGGGGTGGGACGAGACTAACGGGAAGAACCCTTATGCTACCCTTTCAGTTTTTAGTCTGTGAAACCACAGAATAATGTACAAGATAAAAGATTAGTTCATATTGAACGAAACGTTAGCGAGCGTAACAACATTAGTGGCTTTGCCACATTTTCATTATGACACTTACTAGTGTTTTCCAATGCAAAAAAGTCAGATCTTTGTGACAATACCTGAAAATGCTCAAAACAGCACTATACACAGCCATTTGAAAACTACAGTAAAAGTAACACATTTACACAGAAATTAAAGTTACACACAAATTATGAAATAGTTATCACCTCAGTAAACAATAAATTAATTGAAAGATTACAATAAATTCAATGGCAAATATTGCAAATTAAACTAATTATTTCCTA